GTCTCTCTGTTCTTTGCCTACCCGCTCTGTGGAAATCCTGCTTGTCTACTAGTCTTCCCCATCTTAGTTAATGGGCCTGCCATCCACCTAGTTGCTTAGCTCCTCACCACCCCCAAACGAAGACTTATTCTACAGACAGTCTTTTATCTCACTCTCACCATATACTAACAAGTATTTTAAGTCCACTTCTACCCCACACCAAACAAGTGACTATTGTTTTTTGTCATGTTTTATGTTAGTAAGATTTGCCTCTAAATACAAATGAGTTATCTTGATAAAAATAAGCATTAAATTAAAATATTACTTTTATAGAGATTGTCTCTTGATTCCTTTCTAAAAATTAGCTCCTAAATTACCCAGAAGACCCATGTGTTCTTAAGTTTGCACATGTGCTGGAATTTATTTTTCCCAACTTCTTTAAGGGCCTTCACATTTTCTTGCCCTTTGGACCTAGCTGCTGTGGATTAGATACAGAACTATATGTCCTTTTTTTTTAAATTTGTTTCATAGCAAAATAACAATAATGATGACAACAATAGTATTACAAATACTATTAATGATTAGCACTATTAAGACCTGTAGGCATTGCAGAAAGCACTGTAGATTAATTGATGGTTTAGCCCTCACAGTGACACTGGGATGGATACTATTACTGTCCTCATCTTAGACCTGCCCAAGGTTACACAGCTGGAAAGTGGCAGAGAAACTGGATACAGACTTATTTCTGCCAGACTCCAAAGCCCATGTTGTTTTTTTTCTTTTCAAAGCCCATGTTTTTAACCAAAAATAATTTAAAATTCTGAACCACTGAATCTTCTTGTGTAAAGAATATTTTGTCTGCCACACTCAGTAAGATATAAAGATTAGCTCTAGAAAGATCATATAATATAATAAAATAGACCTTTTTATATCACTTTTCCTTAGGCCTCATGGTCTATTTTTACATAATTTCCAAGGTAATTTCACTTCATGGATGCTGAAAAATTGCCATTTATTTATTTTTTTCCTCTAACATTCATCTCTTCTCAGTCTCTCTAATGGACAACTTCACTGACATCAAAACTGTGAAGAGAGAAACCAGGGAGAAACATGAACCTAATGAGAGGATGAAATGAATTATTAGAAAAGTTTTTCAGAGGAAGAACATTCCTTGCAGCCATTTCAATCTTTATTTCTTTCTGTACTTGACAGTGAGAGTACCACATAAGCCTGAATGAAAACAAAACGAGATTGACTCAGGATAAACCAGCTTATGCTATGGTAACAACCACAAAATCTCAGCGCCTTAAAGGGTACTCACTCACTCATGACATATGCATATCAATGGCCACATTTTATGATATATTCTCCATCTATCCAGCATCTGTTTGTACTCCCTATATCTTCATTCTGGGCACAAGGGCCATATTTGAGCTTCATGTAGAAACTGCCTCAGGAGAAACCCCTGCACACAGAAGTTCTTTGATTGATTGATTTTGTTTGAGGCTTTAAATGCTTCCTTGGAAGACTGGTTACCCCCAGTACCTTTTTTCCCTTGGTTTTGGGCCATTCTGCAGTTGGAATAGTCTAATCTGTGCTTCTTTGGCTCTGAGAGCCCCTTGCAAAATTCTTCTCCAATTTCTATTATGGGCTTTGGAGACAGATGAGTAGGCTTGGTCACTTACTAGTTGTGTGGCATTGTACAATGTCTTCTCTCAGCTTTAGTTTCCTTGTTTGAACAGGGCTGTTGTTCATTATTTGAACAGGGAAAAGGGTTGAACTTGAGAAAAAGCCGGGAGATAATAGTAGCAGTTGTTGATGACTTGGGTGAGGCAGAGGGAAGAGGCAAGGATGTCTACCAGGTTCCTATCTTGACAAATGGGTGGTGATGCATTTTATTGAGGAGGAGATAAGAGAAGCAATTTGTGTGTGTGTGTGTGTGTGTGTGTGTGTGTGTGTGAGACAGAGACAGAGAGAGATCAATTTTGACATAAGGATTTGAGATATTTTCTAGATATATAAGTTGAAATGTTGAATTTAAGCTTTAATGACACATAGGCGTGTGGCCTGGACTGATAATAGAGGTTTCAAAGTCCTTTGCATAAAGAAGATAATTTAAACTGTAGAAGTAGATGACAGATACTTCTCAGAATGAGCAGAAAAGAGAGCTCAGGGTGAGCCCTAAGAATTTCTTTATTTAAGAAATAAATAAATAGAGTAGAGGATTCTTCCCTCAAAAGTTAGCTTTTATGTCACCGTATCCCCTCCTTTTCCTCATCTGTCTCTGGACATCTTTTTTTTGGGGGGGTGAAGAAAAAGATTACAGTCTCAATAGAGATGTATAGGAGAGTAGGGAGGAATGTTAATCAAGTGAAAAGATTGAGATGTATGAAAGTTTTAAGATCAGAGACCATATGTTTGTTATGACAATAATCTGAATGGCTTAACATTTTACTTAGGAGTGTTCAACCTTCTAGGTACCAAGATGTCATCGATCCTGTGTTGGGAATTTGCCAGGTAAATGCAGTATAGGAAGAGACAACTATCTGAAGGTGTTGGTGGTGAGTAGTTCAGATAGCCAACTACTTAGAGTGCTTTTAGGGGAATGCTCATGGACTCTGAGGAAATGAAGACCCAGGAGCCGGAGGATTCAATGAATTTGAAGAGCAGATGTGTTCAAGTGAGGGTCCTGAGAGCTTTTGGGGAAAGATGGCTGGGTTAGAGAATTACAGTGGTTGTAGTTAATGGTATGGAACCATTCTGGTTGAAGACAAGTCTCAGGGTGTATGCTGGCAGTGTGGGGAAGTCTAATTGGAGTGGAGGTGAGAATTATTATTATGTATTTGAGGCCAAGGAACAGCAGATTGAAGGTACTAGGTGGATTGCTCCCAAAGACACTGAAGTTTTCTAGAACAATGGCAGATGTTGGGTTTGAGGGGAGGAGTCTTCTGTTTTAAAGCATGTGACCAGGAGGTCAGTAGATGATAGAAACATGTAAGTGTACATAGTGGTATTGTCAGATGTCAGATACCAGGATGGAGCTGTGGTGGTTCTAAAGTGGCACTAATGGGTTAATAAATTGTCACCCCTATCCTTAGTTCTATGGTAGGTGAAATGTACAGCTTAATGTGGGGAGATGTTGTGTTTATTGGTTCTTTTTCTTTTACGTAAAGGATGAAGATTCCAGAGGGTTTAGTGGTTTGAGGAGAGAAGCCAGGGAGAAGAGGTACAGAGCATGAAGGGGTTAAGAACAGGGGATGGAAACTGACTTCCTTTTGGCATATGAGGATTATAGGGATGGAAGCCTTAATTGGAATTAATTGACCGCAGACATTCCAAAGGTGGAATTAGTCATAACAAAGATGTCTTGGGGTCTGAGGTGGGGTCTGACCCAGTCATGTGTGGGTGAACTAACTGTGTGGGGACTGGGGTCATCAAGCATCTGAACATGGACCCCCTCCTGTGGGCAGGATGGAGGATCCAGCTTCTTTTCCCTGGGGTGGTCTCAAGATGCACCAAGTGGCCACATGCAGGGTAGTTGTCATTTAATATCTCATTTCCAGCCTCACAATAAACCTGTATCCCTGGAGTTGTGAAGATTCAACACAATCATTTGTGGGAAAGCACTTTAACAACTATAATCACAATAAGTTTGCTGAGTTTTAGTGTTCCCCACACCTTTGATGTATTTCTCTCTATGCTTTTCCATGTAACATATTCCTTAAGATAATAAGGATTTCCCTCTAATAAGGACAAAGCCAAGATACTTTATTTACAGTGTTAGCCTGGCACCTGGGCTGATTCTCTGTAGTGTTTATGTAGTCTTGATGTGGACTGGCATCTTTCCCTGGACCTTTGAGTATCTTCCTCAGCAGCTTCTCATGGCCAGAAATGCCATCTCTGTGGCTTTTTATTACAAAGCCCAGACTCTCTTCTAGGCCACCCACCAAGTTCTTTGCTCCAGTCTTAAGGGTGCCTACAGCTCCAGGTTCATTTGTAGAACAGAGCTGACTGACACACCCTAAGCAAGGGATGCCAACCTCATCTAGTTTTCCAGGTACCCCTTGATGATTTGATAGAAAGGCATCCACAGGAAAGTGGTACTAGATTCTGAGAACTGCAGTTTTACAATGTTCAATGTCTTCCAGACTTTCTTGGAGAGAGGCAGTTATGATCCTAGTCAAGAAAAAGTCCTTCCTTTATTAACCCCCCTATCTCCCTTTGAAATTTAACTGAAACTGTACTTGATTTTTTATATGTTAAATTTTCTTGGAAGGGGAAAGAAGCTCTTGTGATTGCATAGGCTTTATTTTTTTAGGCAGGGGGGGGGTGTTAATTTCCAAGTAATTCATTAGCTTTGTTCTATCATCACTTTTTTGTTCAGTGCAGTATCACACACTTGGTCAACTATCAAGAGGCATACACATTATTTTTAATAAACCGTGAGTCAGTCTTGGGAGAAAAAAACAAGCTATCTGTTTCCTTTACTCAGTTTACAACATTCCAGAGAATTGAATAGAAGGAGAAGATACTTTTTTCTTCAGCATCTGTTTGTACTCCATCCCTTTATACTGGGCAAAAGGGCCATTTTATTGACTCATGTAGAAACTGCCTTAGGATTATACCCTGTATGCAGAAGTTCTCTGAACTGTCACTGATATTTTTTTGGGCTTTAAATGTTTCCCTGGAAGGCTAATAAATCCCACTGCCAAAAAAAAAAAAAAAACCCTACTTCCTTCTTTCTCTGATGAGTGATTGTTAATCTTTCAGTCGTGTCCAACTCTTTGCGACCCCACGGACTGTAGCCTGCCAGTCTTCTCTGTCCATGGAATTCTCCAGGTAAGAATACTACAGTGGGTAGTCATTCCCTTCTCCAGGGGATTTTCCCAAACCAGGGATCAAACCCAGGTTTCCCGCAGCATTCTTCTTATTATTTTTTTTATCATATCACTCCAGGCTCCATGGGGTACACCCATCAATGCATACGGAAGAGATGATTTTCTTTCTTTCTTTTTTTACAGTTGCCCTCTGCAGACCCATCTTCTGGAAGAAAACCTCAATTGCCAAGGATAAACACATTTTTGATCGTCTTCCTTTTTTATAAGTCTGTGGAAATTTAATATGTGAACATTCTTTGCATAATTTTATGGGCTCTAACATTCAGATGGAGACTAGCATTATTATTTTTTTTACTGTAAGAAGAAAATCTGCACTGTATCTTCTGTTTAGGAGATGGGACTTAATCACTGTCATCTTTTGTACTTAGTGGTGCTGCCAAGGCAGTGTGGTCAGAATAAGGATGGAATTTCAAATAAAAGAAACTTGGGAGACATGAGCTTGGTTGAGTCATATAGACAACTATCTCAACTTCCTCACCTAACAAAGCACTAAAATGTGTTACTGCAATTACAGAGTGCTGATTTAAAGGGAAAATGAAAAGGATAAATGCACAAATGTAAACAGCTATGCATCTTGGAAGGATGTGGAGAGCTGAGATATGAAGGAAGGATAAAGTATCTCTTTTAAAGCATAAAGCCCACAGCAGGAAGCAGTGCTAGCCCCATAGCAATGGTTCTGTAATGTTTGTTGATTGAGCTGTTTTTTGAAATAATACTATAGCATATAAAGCAAAGAGCCTTCAAATATCTTTATAAAGTGTAAGAAACAGGCTTTAACATTACCATATTCAGTTACAAAACACAAATCTGAATTCAGAGTATTTGTTGGGTTCCAGGTGAAGAAGGTAAAAGGAATCAATGAAATTTGAAATGTTCAAAACCTACTTTCCCCCCACCTCCCAATTCTTCTTTCTCTTATTTTCCTCTTCTTATTTCGGGAATCCAACAAATTTTCTTTTGGTTCATCAACCTCTTGTATTTTGACTCAAACAAGACAACTATAATTCATTGAGCAGGAACCATGACTTATTGGACTTTGTGGCCTTCATGCACATCATAATCTAGTGCCTGGTACATAAGAGGGAATTACTATATAGTGGAATGTTAGTTTGGTCTTTACTTTCTCTTCCTTTCCCAGATATTCGCCCTTTTGCATTTGTATAAACATAAAAAGAACTTTTTCTTCATTTCCCCCAAATCTGATAAGACTACTCCACACTCCCATTTTCTTGTTCACATCTGTGAACAGGACAGAAAGGATCCTGACCATTGAGGACTTTACATGCCTCAACCAAAGGAGGCAGCACTGAACTCTAGGGAAGGAAAGTTCTAGATGTGAGGAGGTATGATCGAGTCCAAAAGATCTCGAGAAGTATTCCTGGAGAACTTGTGAGTTGAAGGAAAACAAGATTGACTAGATGAAACTGGGGAACCAGAATGTCAGTGAGAGAAGTGTATTCCAGGCAGACAGGACAGTCTATCCCAAGCCTGGATTTGACAGAGAGCATGAATCATTCAAGAAACCCGAGAAATGGACTTTCTACAGCAGGAGCATATGAGGGTGTAACTATTTTTCAGTGATGTAGTGGGTGGTCTCTAAGTGGATTTGCTATGACAATAACATCATATGGCAATACCATGTGAACTCTTCTGGTAAACATACATGCTTTCTGGACTTGTTTGTTTGCTTGTTTTTCCAAGTCATGGTCAGTAAGTTAAGTAAATGAAACCTCATTGAGCTTAGATAATATTTCCTGCTAAGTTCCTTAAATTCCAAAGCTGGCAGTAAACTGAATGTCAACCTAATAATTGAGGTCTAAGAAGGAATAGCCACACCCAAGTCAATAGTGCAACCCATTAGGCGGAGCTTTTCCTGGGCTACAGTGAGTCCTGCAAATTACGCCAGGGACCCAGGCCTTGGTCTCCCTTGCTAGTACCTGTAGATGTCATCATTCCTGTAACTGAAGACAAGAGGAAAGGCTTGCCTTCCTCTTTGAACATTACCTTTCCTTCCCCAGGTTTTAAAACATTCAATTCTCCCTGTATAAAAATAATGAAGTGGAATATAGTTGTGGCACCTAGAGTGACCACACTGCACCCAGCTCCCTGTCCTGCAGCTCCCTACAGCAAGGTTTTGCACTCTAGAGTCCTCTGGCTATGGAGGATGAGCAGGAATATTATCAGTTAACAGATTCCCAAAACACAGAGACATTTTTTCTCAAATTAAACACAATAGCTGAGGAATATTGATAGGAAACACAAATTGTACACTCAACAAACTTCATTAAAAGCATTCTCCGGGACTTCCTTCGTGGTCCAGTGGTTGAGAATCTGCCTGCCGATGCAGGGGACATGGGTTTGATCCCTGGTCCAGGAGGATTCCACATGCTGCAGAGCAACGAAGCCTGTGCACTGGAGGGCCCTTGCTCTGCAACAGAAGACGCCACTGCAATGAGATGCCAGCCCACTGCGACAAGAGTAGCCCCCACTCGCTGCTACTAGAGAAAGCCTGCACAACAACAAAGAGCCAGCACAGTCAAAAAACAGGTAAAGGAATAAAATAATTTAAAAAGTATCCTTCAGTATATGCATCAAAGAACTCCTAGAACAATGAATGCAACACTGAGATACATTATATAACTGTATGGGTATTAGGGAGCATATTTTCTAGTGCCTAGATGCTTCAGATTTAGTGATGGAATCTCATTCATTGTGCGAAAACCAAATAAACATTTGTCCTAAAAATGATCAGAAAGCAGGAATAACTCTGCTTTATGAACATATAAGACTGTAAAATCATTTGTTATTGATAGAGAGTTGGATTGGAGTGTGGGAGGGAGATGCATTATTTTAAATTGTGTTGTAGGTGACAGAATGAGAGTCAGTAATGTTCTAGTTCAAAGGAACAAGATTCTATTGATTCATCAAAATTTACTGAATGATTGTTATGTTTTGGGAACTGTATTTGGCCCTGAGCATGTAAAGATAAATAAGGCATGCTCCCTCATCTCCAAACGGCAGTGGAAATACTCGTTGGAGAATTTGTTGTTCAGTTGTGTCTGATTCTTTTGTGACCCCATGAACTGTAGACTGCCATGCTCCTCTGTCCATGGGACTTCCCAGGCACGAATACTGGAGTGAGTGCCATTTCCTTCTGCAAGGAATCTTCCTGACCCAGGGATCAAATCCGTGTCTCCTGCATTCACAGGTGGATTCTTTACCACTGAGCCACCAAGGAAGCCCCCTTAGAGAAGACATAAATGAATACTGTACAATATGGTATATATTCCAGTCTAGGTAGGTAGGAAGGCCTAAGTACAACTGAGTGATCAATTTCACTCGAGGGGAGTATTGTAATCAGGGAAGATTTCAGAGGAAAAACGATGTTTTGTTCAGTGAGTAAGCATTTTATAGACAGATAAGGAAGAAGGGCATCCCAGAAAGAAGGAAGAGTGTATTAAAAGGCAAAATGACATTTGACAATAAACTACACGGAGGAAACTACAATTAGGAGGAGCTTAAGTGTGGGGCACACCATGAAGCACTAGCCACATCAAGGCCATGGCAGTGGAAATGTAACAAATTCCTTCCTTTGGGGGGTACAGAGAGGTACTTAGATCCTCCAGACAGTTCCTACATTCTGATACTCTAAGACTTTAGTAGGATCTCACAGAACCAGGAATCAGAGCAAATGCCAGTGACCTTAAAGGCATTTTGTCCAATGCAGTTGTTGATTTTGCCTGACTCAGAGGAGTTGTAGAGGATATAGGCCTAGAGTTTCTGGTAGCCATTTTGTGACACATAGAGCCTGAAAGCAGAGCAATATAGAGGCGCATAGCAGACAGACAGGAGAACACTAGGTCCTGGCAACATGATTCAACCCCTGGATTAAGACTCACCTGAAACATGTCTACTCCTGGACACAAACCAGTTAGAATTTTTTGCTTAAGTTAGTTTTTTTTTTTTTTCCCCCTTGTTGGTCAGTTGTAACCTAATGAACCTGGTGTTTTTATTTTATAGTTCAGGAGACTAATACCCAGGATGGCAATGTCACTTGTTGTTAAGGGCCTCATTAAAAATTGAGACTTGAACGCAGGTCTCTTCACTTAGGTCAGACTCAGGAATACCCAGAATTTAAAAACTGTTTGCATGTGAGAGTTTCAATATGAATACACTTAGAAATCTTTTTTGCAGTAACCTCATATTTGAGAGTACTCTTGCCTGGAAAATCCCATGGATGGAGAAGCCTGGTGGGCTGCAGTTCATGGGGTCGCTATGAGTCGGACACGACTGAGTGACTTCACTTTCACTTTTCACTTTCATGCATTGGAGAAGGAAATGGCAACCCACTCCAGTCTTCTTGCCTGGAGAATCCCAGGGACGGGGGAGCCTGGTGGGCTGCCGTCTGTGGGGTCACACAGAGTCGGACACAACTGAAGCGACTTAGCAGCAGCAGCAGCATATTTGAGAGTTGTGATTGAATTTATTTTAAAAATGTATTTCTACATAACTGATTTAGAGGGAGCATGCAACCAAGATGCTGACATTGTTGGTTCATGGCCCACTTTTGCCACTAATTACCTTTGTGACCTTGGGCCTATCTCTCTGGGCCTTAGTGGTTCATGAGATGTAATTATCTCTAAATCTTTTCTTTCTATGATTCTAAGCATAAATACACCCAATTTTCAATTATCCATTGTGGATGTTACATATGGCTCTATTCCCTGGGGAAAGCTTCCTTTTGAACTGTTTTGATATTACTGGGTTTAGCTTCACAGATACTTACTTAACACTAATTAGGGGATAGGTGTTGCAAAAGAGAATAATTATTTCTAAGCAGTATTGCTTCTGTACTTTTGTATTCTCATATGCAATCTGATATTGTTTGCAGCTTCAAAGTACTAAACAATGCCTTCTAATCCAGGAAATGTGTGATTCCAGATAAGAGTGGTATTAGACAGAGGGAAGACCTATCGCTGTGCATCAGTTGGAAACGTGATGCCACAGTGTTCAGCAGTCAGAAGGAGGAACAGGGCAGAGTCCCAAGAAGCACAGGCAGATTGGGAACCACACATGTGTACAAAAGCACATTCTTGCCCACATAGAATGGGTTTTTTTTTATCAGTAGTCTTCCGCAGATCTGCACCACAGTGATCACTGTGGATAACTGTCTTTTCAGAGTAGTTGCCTATGAAGTTAACAACAACTTGCTAATACTTTTATTTACAAGATATTATGAACACTTAATGCTTGATAATTCTTTCGGATAATCTTTGTGTAACATAGTGGTTCATTTGATTCACCAAAGTAATTTTCCAGCTTGTATAAAGACCAGCTTCAGTCAGTTTCTTAGCCTGTCCCCATTTGAACAGTTTCGTTGGCTGGAAGATGACCCTGGAGTTCTGTGACCTCATTTGAGGAGTCTTAGGGAGGGACA